AAGTCCTTCATATTTATTTATTTTTGTGAGTATCGATCTCTTTCGTATAAAACATACATAGCTTCAGAAGTAAATCATGTGTACATGAATGTGGTCCAATAAAATGTGTTCGAACCACTTACTGTTGTTGACCCCAAAATGCTCCACCAGCCAGGAGTCAATGCGGTGATTGTGTAACTTCAATGCTTTACAATATAAAAAGAATAAGAAATATATATACTTCTGCTTTGTGAAGTAAGTTGAAATATTGTTCGACACATTTTGCACGGACTCTATCGTAAAAAATAAAGCAAAAGTGTGTCAGTATTAAAAAAAAAAAAAAAAAAAAAAAAACAGCGGCTTCGGGAGTCAAGGTGCTCCCGAGAGATGAGCGAGGCGGGGGGGAAAGAGAGAGAGAAGGGTATTGGAGAACCGGAGCAAAAACGTCCAAACCGAAACCGAAACTAACTTGACCGGAAACGGAATCAGATTATACTTAATACCGCCCGCTAGGAGCGCTACCTGTCAGTGGTCTATCTGGGCCGCTGGGGCCTATGGCAGTGTCCGCTCTTTACCTTGTATATATTACTCTATGGGCGAGCTTCTTGCCCACACCCCCATCGCGCATGCGCGCCGCCGGTGGCGTCCGCTAGGGGCGCTAGGGTTTGTTTGTAAACATGAGTTGGAGTATATTCTGAAGCACAGTTTCAGAAAGTTTCATTTATAAATGCGTAGTATTTATTTTGTAAAAAAATATTTTCAGCAAGCACGCGGCGACCAGCTGAGCGAGCAGACGGCGAAGTTGGGCATTTTCAAATTAGGTCTACTCCGCGCTTGTTCAATGCAGCCGAGATATCTTACCCTCGTTGGAAGCGCCGTATCTTCTATTTTGTGCCCATAGAAGCTTGCTACGTGTGATCTGTGGCCCGGGAGAATCCCATACATACAAGCAGAAGAAACGATACCAGCAACACCATTGGTTGTGACCCGAAACAGGACTCACGATTGGCCACCTTAGTAGCTCCTTGTGCGCCTCGTGCACGCGCTATCGGCAGCTTCGCTTCTGATCGTATCGCTAGTTCGCCGCTGTTAAGATTCGTTTTCCTTCTTTGCTCCCGGTAGTTTTTCTGCCAAGCAATGCCTGCTTCCAAAGTTAGCAGTCGCAGTAGCTTTGGCCGGCATTCTCGACGGCAAAAACGAAGGGTCGCGGTAGCATTGGCCAGCACCGCCGTCGTCACGATCTTCAAGCTCAACTGGTGCTTGGCGGACATCGGAGCTTACAGCTTTATCTCCGAATCGGATGTGCTGACCATGTTCGAGAGGAAGCTCTCCTGCTCGATTCCGACGCGGGGACTACGGACGACTCGGAGCCAACAGACGCTCCCGTGGAAAAGCCCCTGGACGGCTCCTCAATGTGTCCGCCGTGCAAACTCTTGTTGCGATTTTACTCTGCCCCAGGTGCCACGGAAAACTACTGAGCTTGCAAGAAGAAGGAATTGGCATCAACCTTCAGTTTGTTGTTAGCTGCTTGACTTGCGGAGACATCGTCGCCACACCGCACTCACCTTCAATCGTGAAGTTTCGAGAGAACAAACTCGCGGTGCGTCTAGGCGTCGTTGGAAGGGGCAGCAGGTTTTACAAAGCTCACCAACCTTTTCGGAAGCCTCAACGCACTGCCCCCCCCCTTCCCCCCCCCCCCGCCCCCCCAGGCTCACGTAGTTGAAGGGGCCACCAATGATTCGGGTGGATTTTGAATTTCTGGCATCGTCCAAAAAAAAAACAAGTTGAAACTTCAAACACATTTTTCTCAGTTTCACTTTTTGGCAGGAATTCTTGTTTTAGGAAAGCTATGAATTGACATTCTGAACACAAAGGGACATCATTCAAGGTTTTCTGGGACTGAAAGTTTCTGAGGAACAAGATAGACTACTTCAGAGCTAAGTAAATCTACACCTACTTAGAAAAAAAAAAAAAAAACGTTTTTGTAAACACAAAATTTTTACTCTTTTTAAATTTCGGGATGTTGTTGTTTTTGTCATAATTGAATATTTTGCAGTTTATTTTTAATCTGGGTTGCACTGTGGATATTGTTCTTCACATTAAAGCAAGAAGTTTGCCACCAGCTAATATTATTTTTCTACGATGGACTTCTAAGTGAAGTGTCTTTTTGCTGAAGTGCGAGAACCGTAGCACACTGTAAAGTTGGCCGATAATGCTAAAACTTTGCAGATTATCCTTCCTGATAGAGCTGAAATAACCCTCTAAATTAAAACCAAATTGGGTGAAGGGTTCAAAAGTTGACCCCTCCCAGGCCATATCTTCCATAGAAAACACTAATACCCTCCAATTTTTTTTTTTTGTTCGAGTTTTTTTTAGATGGTTTTATTTGGTGTTGGGAGACTACCGAGTCAATATTTTTCTTCGGGGTCACATATGTATTTTAATAAATCCAAAAAACTCAACTGCACTCGAAACCGAAACACGAGCACGGAAGCTCAAGGTCAGAAGTCACGTGGCCACGCCCGACTACATGTTTTTTCTTTCTTTACTCTTTTTTTGGCACGTGAAGCAGACGACGAGAATGACTAAGTTGCGTGTACCGTTTGTCGTGCGATCATTCCGTTCTGCGTTGGAAGATAGAACGACAGTTCCCAAGTAGCGGCCCCACGTCCGTTGTCTAGCTCGCTGTACATCGCAATATGAAAAATGACGTCTACATCAACGTATTTGCAGCTTCTTGGAGGCCGCAAAAATGGGGTTCACTTTTTAGAGCGCAGCTTTAGGGGCCCGTTTCCGGCTTGAGCGGCGTCGCCGTCGCCGTCGCCGTCGCCGTCGCCGTCGGCGTAACCGCGCGGTGCATCATGGGAAATGTCCCATAATGCACCGCGCGAGCCCCCCCCACCGGGGTCACGTGACCTCGTGGGGGGTCACGTGACCCCCCGAGGTCACGTGACTCCCCTGAGGTCACGTGACCCCCTCCTCAAGGTCACGTGACCCCCTCCTCGAGGTCACGTGACCCCCGCGGATGTCGCGTGACCCCCCGATGACGCCATCGTCACTGATGACGTCACCAGCATCCACATCGTCATCGTCATCATCACTGATGACGTCACCAGCATCCACATCGTCATCGTCATCATCACTGATGACGTCACCGGCATCCACATCGTCATCGTCATCATCACTGATGACGTCACCGGCATCCGCATCGTCATCGTCATCATTACTGATGACGTCACCGGCATCCACATCGTCATCGTCATCATCACTGATGACGTCACCGGCATCCCCATCGTCATCGTCATCATCACTGATGACGTCACCGGCATCCACATCGTCATCGTCATCATCACTGATGACGTCACCGGCATCCACATCGTCATCGTCATCATCACTGATGACGTCACCGGCGTCCGCATCGTCATCGTCATCATCACTGATGACGTCACCGGCATCCCCATCGTCATCGTCATCATCACTGATGTCACCGGCATCCACATCGTCATCGTCACTGATGACGTCACCGGCATCCACATTGTCATCGTCATCATCACTGATGACGTCACCGGCATCCACATCGTCATCGTCATCATCACTGACGACGTCACCGGCATCCGCATCGTCATCGTCATCATCACTGATGACGTCATCAGTGACGTCACTGATGTCGTCACCGGCATCCGCATCGTCATCGTCATCATCACTGATGACGTCATCAGCGACGTCACTGATGACGTCACCGACATTCGCATCGTCATCGTCATCATCACTGGTGAAGCCATCAGTGACGTCACTAATGACGTCATCGGTACCCGCATCGTCATCGTCACGGATGACGTCATCAGTGACGTCAGTGATGACATCATCGGCATTGGGGGTCACGTGACCCCCAAGGTCACGTGACCCCCCCCCCTGGTTAGTTTACCCCCCCCCCGTGCCCTTCCCTCCTCCTCCTCAAGAGCTGCGCTCTAATTCGGCGTTACAGGGAGTTGTAAGCGGCTTTCATTTTTTTTTCTATATTGAATGTGTGTCTTAGATGACCCATGGCTTTAAATATATATGCTCACATACTTTGAATGCCCCGTGAAAAAGAGAGTGAGCAAATTGTGTTTTGGTAGTTGGGCCCTTATCGGTCACGTTCAAGAAAAAACCTCAGTGAGCAAAACTCCCCGGTCAGTGCCCTTTAAGTACCTGGATAGAACACGCATGCAACAAAATAAACTCTTGCAAAAAAAGATTTAACTGCAATATTTAGGTTGCGAGACTTGTTTTAAGTGTGCTCCTCACTCTCTCACAATATACGAATATTTCTCATTCTTTGAGAGAGAGGAGGGGGGAGTTTATTTTCGGTTTCTACAATCCAGGCGCTTAAAACATAGTTTTGAGGGAGCTCAGTGTTTCTAGATTCAAAACATTCTTCTATTTCAGGTCATCGTGTCCAAATATAAAATATCGCTCCCAACTCAAAATGGATCCTGCAATATTTTTTTTATTTTTTGTGTTATGTTAAAACATGCTATACATGTTTTAACATAACAAAACATTTTTTGCGAGTTTGTGGTTCTTTAACAACTACATATGCGTCGGCTAAAAGGGGCAAGCTTCAGACAAGTGTTGAGTCTAGAATTTTCGGGGCAAAGTTGCAAACCAAATGCGCAGAAGGGTATGCTGCGGATGACTACGTCGGACCTTTCGTCGTCTCATGTTTCAGCAGGATGGCACATCTGCTTCCATTACTGTTTTACAATCAGCGTTTTCTGAGAGTTGTGGAGGCATACCGTATCACCTGAGGGATTTCCCTCGCTGTTACCCGTTTCGAACAGTGACACCACCACGCACTTGTTCGTCAACACGAGTCGCTTGCGCGGCTGATTACACTTTCTCACTTTGTGGTAGGAATCGCGAGAGACGATTTAACATGTGGGCAACCCGGTACAACGCCCGCCAGGCTACCCGCTCACCTTGAGAGAAACACCTTGAGACAAGATCGGGTCCTTTCATTTTCCCGGCCACTTACGTACTTGCTCTGGTCCCAAGAGGCAGAAGTGGTGGGTCTCTTGGATCAAGGAGTCCTCAAAGCCCACTGCAAGGCAGAAATGAAATTATGCAAATGAATGACCGATTGGGTGCCTTCATTCAAGAGCAGACAAGAGACCCCCTAGACCCTCGGTCAAGCAAAATGTTCGCCCTACAACAAAATGTAGAAAAAACAATTCAGGGGCAAGAAAGTCAAACGGCCACATTCCGAGAAATATGGCGGCACACCACACTTGATCCCAATGTTCTAACCTGCGGGCCCACAAAGACCCAGGCTGTTTACCAGTTTCTTTAAAATTCCTTGACAATTCCGAAGGTTCCCCCGACTCTTTCGATTACATTCCTCGGCCACTACAAAGGGAAGAAATCTGGAACGTGGTGCTAAAATCTAGCATATAGAAATGCTCGATAACTGAAAGGAATATTGCTGGAATTGTGAGAATCATCGTACATACTTTCATAGGGTGACCATAGTCCTAAGAGAATAAAGGGAGACATCTGGCATGGTTGAGGTGGGGTGGACAGAAAGAAAGGCTCACGTACATTCAGTTGAAAGTAAACACGGACATTTCTCAAAGCCCCTCGTAAAGAGCACAGGGGCTTCTTTCACCCATTTTGAACAAGAGCAAAAAAAAAAAATGTAGCCAACTGAAGCAGACCATATTTAGAAATATACTAGTCTACCATAATGCAGGTTTACGCAAACAAAATATATATATGACGATGTAACCTCAGGGAGAGCCCAACATTGTACTCTATGGAAAGTAACATTTTTTATGGTATGTTTCTTTATATAAAATTAAGCTCATAACATGAAAACATTCTTTCGGTTTTCTTCCCAACTGATTTTGCAACTTTGCATTTGGCAACGAAAATAAGACACAAGGCCTCAGTGAGACAAAATAATGAGACTGCAGAAATCAACCTCGGAAACAGGACTGTCCCAGCCAAAACGGGACGCCTGGGCGCTTAAGGTGCAACCCCACCGTGCATGACGTTTTGGCGCTTTTCCGACGGCTTATAACTTTTTTTCTATGTATCTTACAATTATAAAGTTAGTGTCAGATTCAAGAGCAGTTTCTCAACAATGTTTTAATGACTTGATATCACGATTCTTTTTTGTTGTTAGTTAATTATTTGGCTTTTAATAGACCACAGTCTCTAGTATTGAAAAACTTATTTCTCGAGTTATAACGTCCCATCGTCCACGATATTTTACGTGAGCGTTCGGTTAGATGTAATAAAATAAAAAAGTAAGCACCGAAATGTACAGATAATGTCTTTTTGAAAATAAAAAAAATAAAGTTTTAAATTGTAATATTTTATGGTGCTATAAAAACGGAATCACGTCAACTAATCAAAATAACGAGACATTAAATTATGAAGCATCCTTCGATATTACATTTTCCAAAACTTCCATATCGATATATTACAGGTTAAGAATGTTATAAGACCTCAAACTTTTCCCATTCAGTTACGGCGAATTGTAGTTTCTTAATATAAAGTACAGATGGCGACACGTGTTCAAGAACAGTTTGATGTGCATTTTCCGTCGTGTGCCGCTTGGAACGCCACGTGAAGGACAGAAAAAGCGCCAGATGTCAGGGTGTCAGGTGCCTGGATGCCTGCAGTGAGCGAGCCAGAGATGTGAGAACAACAAGCGCAAGGCTGCGGGTGCACCACAGCTACTTTTGCGCGCGTTCTACTGTGCGTCGGGACACATGCCCGACGCGATCCAAATAAAATGGGCGCCGTGAAATGCATTCTGCCATTTCAGATTCCGCCACGTATGCGAAAACATTTTACTGTTTTTATCACTTGCATAAATCATTTACGATATCACACTATGCTTGTCGGAATGGTTCGACTACATTTTGTTTCAAAAACAACCTCGGTGGCTCTTAAAGGAGCGATGCAACAATTTTTGTACTGTGCACAAATACCGCTTAAATCGGATCCCTAACGTTAATGACCTATGAAACACGCGTTCGTTTTTCACCCCACGCAATAGAAGTCCCAGAAAAAAATTTAAGAAAAACGAGCGGCGTTCACCCCCTCAACTCGCAGCCAGAACAAGCGGCCACGTGATCTGGAGCCGATTATATGCCGCCAGTGTTGATCATAGCCACGCGCAGGGGTCGGCAAAGCGCAGGACACGCGCTGAGTTCCAGACATTGTTATGGCTCGGCTGTTGTCGTCGTTGCAGCGATTGGACACGGGTCACAACCCGAATGCTTCTCGAGCTAGCAATTGTCACGAGCCCAAGTCGAGTGCCCACGCAATGCTCGGGTCCAATATATGAGCCGCATTCAAATATCGTCACTTGGGTGTACTGCGATCCCCGAGTTACGTCATCAAATTTTGCAAAGGAGAGATTGAATGAAAATGATCGCTTTTGTCCTTGAAATTACACCACAACAAAGGAGTTTCTTGGCCAATGGTGTTGCGTGTGAGTATCCTTGAGTCCGAGGTGTGCCAGCAAGCTAGTGTAGAGAGAAAAACATTCCAATTGAATATCGTTGCACAGCTCCTTTAAGTTGCAATAACATTAAAACGTCTCAGTTCCTCTCAGCCAACGCGCTGGCCTAAGAATCTATATTTGTCGGATTTAAATATCGGCCGAGGTGCCTGCAATCTGACGGAGGCCAATCTGAGATTTCGGTTGCACGTCGAAAGATCTACGGTTAGTCAAAATAGACCCGCAATAATTTTTTTTATTTGGGCGTGTTAAGTGCCTTTTGTTGGTTTGGCTTGTGAAACCCTCAGATGTGAATATTTGCTTTGCTTTACCTTAGTTCGGAGCGCAACTAACGCTACGGGTTGATGAAGCCACTGAAGCAGCTCCAAGAGCGCGAAGTTAAGCTGTTCGTTCTCTTTCTGTGCCTATGCGGTCGGGCTAAACTAGACCCACTAAATAAGCTACGCTTCATACAGATATGGATGCTTAAAATGATAGTTGTCAGTTATCTGAAGCTTTATCTGAAATCACAGGAAACGCTTTTCCGTCCTCCACAAATGTTTAAACAGTTGGCGACAAAGCAAAGCAATATTACGTGAGCTTCCTGACACCGAAACTATTGCTGAGGAAGTCGCACTTTTGAATCATGACGACCGGCAATTGCATTTGATTTGTTACTAACCACCAACAAGCCGGCGCCCAAAACAATATTGGGAAAAAATTGCCGATACTCTAAGTGTAGCTCATTTGGTCTAGCTCAAAGGATAAATCAAGTGCGGTAGGGGATCGTTGGCCGAGTGTGTTCTGGCACCGCAGATCAGAGCACGTGGAGAAATGCTCGAGTGCGAGCTCCGTTCAAAGCACGAAGCTCCCGCTGCAGAGCGTGCAGGGACTAAATCCCCTCGATGTATTTGCGTTGGTCTTTCAAATAACCTCAAAGGTGCCAGTGCACGAGGCCCGTGTCTCGACCGGACCTTGGACAGAAATGGCGACGCAGCACTAATACTTTCGAGTTGCCCGCGTGCCACACGGGCAACTCGAATGGTATTCACAACGAATGACATTCATGTGATCAACAATCGGCTCGCGATCTGTCGCGCGTGGAACGCCCCACGCTCGGAGTGTCGCGCGCTGATTGTCCGATCCTTCAAATGTCATTCGTTGTAAATGGGATTCGAGTTGCCTGTGTGGGCACGGGCACCGTGGGCACGGGTATATAATGACTGGCCCTTGAAAGCAAATGGCGGTGGAGCGCCCGCTCGTGGCACGTGTCTTGCGCGTTTTCACAATAATGGTTGGCGGTACTTGTAAAAAACGCCTTTATCAAGGGGCTTTAGCAGGGACCCTGGGTTCAGTCGCCCATCTGCATCCTACCGTCGTGCGATCGTGTATCACATATACTGCGTAATGCACGTTTAAGACCCCGAGCTAACAGTTGCACTGCACTTTTTATAACCTTCATCGGGTAACAATGTCTTCCTACGAAATCGCTGCTCTCTAAAAAACTAACGACTAATTTTTAATGCACCGTTACATTGCATTTTTAATGTGTGTTCGCGCTCTTTTTTTATTTTTATTTCTTTGTCTACATTTTTGATTATGTGGCTCTTACTTATAATGAAACAGACAATAGTTGTCAAACTTCTGGAAAATATTCTATAACTAAGAAAATCGCACGTGAACGTAAAAATAAAAAAAAAACGCATAGGCGCACCTAATAAAAATAATTGAAAGAATAGAATTGATTATAATTGTGTTTTTCAAAGGTTTGAGCGCCCCAAACGCTATTCAAGCGAGCTCGGTGCTTTGGATGGTGCACTTGTTCCAGTGGGTGAGGGGGGATCGGTGGCCAAATGGTCTAGCGCACACCAGCTCGGAGCACGTGGAGCGAATGCTCGCGCTGCAGAACCCAGGGATCATGGGTTCGAGCCCCACCCCTGCCCGTTTCGATCTAGATGAGCATCGTACCGGCGTGCGGTCGTGTATCACTACTGCGTGATGCACGTTAAAGACCCCAGGCTAGCGGCTGTACCGCACTGGCTAAATTTCTCATCTACAGCTGGGAGACTCATCGCCCCTGTGAGGCAGACTAAGTTCTAGGCTGTATAAACACACACACAACCCAATTTTTTGTTCCTGTGGGGGATCGTTGAGCGCACCAAACGCTATAAAAGCCAGCTCGGTGCTTTAAATGGTGCGCTTGTTCACTGGAAGTGTAGTTCAGGACAGTATGCTCTCACTTGTATGTTCCGCTTCGCTCGCAGGATAAAACCAGATACTTTATTGGTAATATATTTTGTGATACAAAGCTTACCTTCTGTGTATGTGCAATGCCCTCAGTTTTCGCGTGATTACACGATTGTTTATCATTATTGTTTTCATTTTCCACAGCGATTCAGTTCTGCTCTTTTCTGTGCTACATGAAATATTAGAGACCAAGGTAACCCAAGAGCGTTCTTTTTCGCGGTTTCTCAAAAAAACAAAAACAAAAAAAAAAACCTATGCAACTTGCCACGTGTGCCACAACCAATAGAAAATATTCTAAACTTCACATATGACCGCTTGCCTGACTAAACATTGTTGTTTTGTCAAGAACAATTGCGATCGTATGAAAGCACATTTGTGTGCTTGGGTTGTTCAGCTGGTGTCTATTAAGTAAGAAGGGAAAAACTCGTTCTAAGCACGCGACCGTTGGCATGCAGTGAATACTTATAATCAGCGCCGAGATGATTGGTGGCCGTCAGCAGGTGGAGTTTTTCTACCAACCCAGAGTTAGAATATTTCCTTCTTTTTGTTGTAAGCAATCAGGAGACAACTTACACCAAATCTGAGGGTAATAAATTACTGTGAGCATTCAAACACAATGGCCTGAGCAGTATATGTGTACAAGCTTTAGCTTTTGGTGCACTCTTAACTTTCGACACGCTCAACGCTAGTGTAAAACGTAGGGCTGTTTCATTCTTAATCTGCGTACCATGTGCGTGCTTACACTATATTTTATACAACGTCAAAGCCTACCCGTTTGCATCGTTTTCATTTTTGCACACCACTACTTGCGCGCATGAATCACCAAATTAAGACTGGCACAGGATGTCACAAAAATCAATTTACAGGGTTGTTTTTTTTTACTGCGAAAATAAACTACGCATTGCCTAACGCTCATTCTTCGCCCAAAGGTAGCGCTAGGTCGCAACCAGATGCCAAAGTTTCATCCCGAACGGACACCTTATTCAAAAGTTATAAGTGATTTTCTGAAAAATTTCAATGGGAAAAATGGAGCCCATTTTTGAGCCTGTTTTTTGTTTCTGGTGCCATATCCCCATGTATTCGAAAACTCCGTCGGCCGCTATTTTCCCATTGAACTTTTCAGAAAATCACTTTTTTGAAGAAGGTATCGTATTGGGCTGAAACTTTGACATCTGGTTGTACCTCTAGCGCTACCTATGGACGGAGAATGAGCGTTCGGCGATGCCTAGTTTATCCTTGCGGTAAAAAGAAACCCTGTATTGTTTTCTTGTGACACCCTGCAAGTTGCTTAAACTATGTGCAAAAGCTATCAACAGACCCAGAATCTTTGCATGATCAGTCATTGCATTTATCACTGAATTCGTACTAAAATTAATAATTATTCTTTATTGCTGTGAGTTTACTTTTAACCTCGGCATTTTTTATTATGACCCCCGCACCAGTCCTACTTTGGGTTTACCAAACTCAACATCTAAACCTGAGTGTCATTTTTTTGTGTTTTCCAGTCTGGTGGTTTGGGTCAAAATAAACACCCATCTACGTAATTGAGACACCTGACCGCCCCAAAAAAATAGTCTTTTCTTTTAGGCAGCTAATTCCTCAAGCTAGAATTTTGAAAACAAGACTATGACGTCATCACGTTTTGCTGGAAATCCACAAAGATCTAAACACATGCACGATAAAAGGGCCGGCCCGTCATATTTCCGCCCGCAGAGCCGAGAAAGCAACGCTCGGTCACGGGCTTCTGGAAGCTTCGCGTTCATTCTTGCACCAGACGGAACTTTCGCCCTGTTTTCTTGTCCTCGCAAGTGCCAGTTCATCTTCGCCCCGAACGCGCGACGCTCGAACCTTTTTTGCCGAACTTTCGAGATGGTGACGTGACGCACTCTAGACAAGCAGTTGCCAGAGACCTTGTCGAGTCAGTCTCGCTCTCGCTCTTTGTTACGCTGCCGAATCGCCGCCTGCTTTTCTGCTGCCCCGACGGTCTTTGTTTACTTTTGTTTTTGTTTGGAACAAGCTCAGCGATTAAACCTTTATTTTTCAGTTCACCGTTCGTCCTCTCGTCACCTTCATTCGTATCAGTATAAATCTGATCACATAGTAATATGTGTCATTGGCCTCTGAAATCTCCGATAACGGCGCACAGGCAATTTTATATTTTCAACGCGTCGGTAGTTTTGTTGTGCATGTGTCTCGCCATTTGGCTCAGGACGAATTTCGCGTTTTGTTCTGCCTACATTTGCTGGAGACGTGAGCCCCGAGCGTGGCAACTGGCCCCCTTCCACGAGAACTGGCGCAGCCATGCGCGTTCCAAAGAAAGCTCGTGCAGAGAAAACCAAGCAAGGAACCAGGGATGTCAAATTCTGGATATAGAAGAATATCCAACTGTATCGAAGCGCCACCACACACGATTTCTCGCATTGATGTACAGGCCTGGAAGGCGATCCCACCGCCATCTGTTGGTTCAGAATCACACTAACCAGGGGTGGGGTTGCACCTTAATGATTTGGCCTTTTAATTAATATGATAATACTGCCACGAACGCATATTTTCTCTTTGAATGCGAAAGGTTGTTACGAAAGCATCGGTTTCGACGGGGAAACGCGAAGATGTAGCAGCATCAGGCAGGGTGCCATGCGACATCGTCACGTGAAAGTGCGACCTCACGTGACGTGGTGACGTAGTTGTCACACTCCGATGTCATCACGTGACCGCTGTCACACGACGTACGACGCTCACATTATTGGGCCACCCGGGGTCGCTCGACGGCACGACGTAGAAAACGGCCCGCACTTGCCGGCTTTATACGTAAAAAGCTATTCTTTCGCAAATACTAAGTACTACTACGACGACCGCTTGCAGAACGGTCGACACCCACTCAGGTTTGGGAACAAAGGAGGCCCGGACGGAGTGAGGCCATTTCCGGCAACCTCACCACTGCGGGCAGGCACGCGAAGTGGTGCCTGGCCGCAGTCCCGAAGTGGCAACAAATAACTTCGCAGAAGCCCCAGTGTCATGCTGTTGCGATCCTAAAAGCAAAAAGTATGAGCGATCGGGGGACCGCACTCTAAGACGCGGGAAACGTGCCGGCCGGAGGCGTGTTCGGGGCGCCGTCATGGGGCCGCCGTGCCCCCCCCCCCCCCCCCCCCCTGAAACCCACCCGGGCAGGACAGCGTGGAGCCCAGCTGCGGGTGCTGCACAAATCCGCGCTCGTCCAGGCGGCTCCGACAGTAAATGCCAAAGCACTCCAGGCAGATGAGGTGCGACGACGTGCAGGGAAACACCAGGACGACGCGGCTGCGAGAGGGACGTCGCTCGGACCGTTCCTCTCCAATGCCGCCCAGGCGAGCAACGAAAATGAGTTCCTCTGCCATTTCCCACCCTGCGGTGCAAAGGTTCCCCACGTTTCTGTTTATTCCATAAAATTTATTTTCATGATCCCGTTTTACGGATCGAGTGATAACTCGCCGCATTTCCATCCCGTGTTGATCGTCGGCATAGAGTTGGAGTCCCAAGCTCATGAACTCCTTCCTTGCACAAAAATGGAACCACTCTACCTGGTTTGAATGCTACCAACACTGACACTATTTTCTTATTTTCCCGCCCTTCAACCGAACCGGTGATACGGAGGGGGGGGGATCGGTGGTCGAGCACGGGCGCACAGCTCGAAGCGCGTGGAGCAAAAGCTCGTGCTGCAGAACCCAGGGATCCTGGGTCCAATCTCCACCCCTGCCCATTTCAATCTGGATGTGCATTGCAGCGGCGTGCAGTCGTGTATCCATACTGTGTGGTGCAAGTTAAAGGGGTACTCCGCCTTTTTTCAGCTACCCAAACAAATTGCATTTTCCAAATACCTGAACTTTAGTCTTCACAGTATGCTATTTGTTGTCTCGATTTTCAAAATAGATATCGAGAAAACTGTAAATGAAAATGATGCCGAAACCAACATCCAAATTTCCGAGTAAGCTCCGGTGGTGTGACAACCCCCCCCTCCCCCCCCACAAAAAAAAAAAAAAAAAACCGGTACAGTACTTTAGGTAGTGCAGGTTGTGGTAAACAAGGTATGTCAAGCGTTCTTTCCTGCTTCTCAGTGAATAAGCTTAAAAGCATTCTTTTTCCCACCATCAAACGTCTTGTAATCAGTCGGAAATGTGGTGTAATGCGTGTTTTACTACTAGTTTTACTAATGTTACTGCAATCAGTTGGGAACGACATTAGAAAATTCAATAACTTTGCAAACACTTTTTCTTTGCACACAAAACTAGGGAGATTGGTACTGCCGTGTATATCAGTGTGTTGAGCCAATTTTGAGGCAAATCAGTGCCTGTAAAAAAATTGCTGGAGTACCCATTTGAAGATCCGAGGCTAGCGGGTGTAGTGCACCGACTAAATTGCTCATCTACAGCTGAGACACCAGGTGCCCACTGAGGCTGACTAACTTCCGGCTTACAAACGTACACACCAAATTATTATTACTGACGCGGAGGGTATGAAAATCAACTCTTTTCCTTGTGCCTCTTGCACCCCACATGTGCAGACAGGATGGATTTGAGAGAGTCGTCTGCCAATGTCCCTGGGTTGCACGCACCACTGGGTCAGGCAGCAGCTATTTAGCCGACAGCAGCTGCACTGGAAGCCGCAAAGACCCTTCTATTAACCATGTTGAATATACCTGAGACTGGGGTAGAAAAAACATAAAAGTCGAAGAAACAGAACGGGACAGGACGACGTCTCATTGAGACGTCGTCCGGTCCCGTTCTGTTTCTTCGACTTTTATGTTTTTTCTACCCCAGTCTCAGGTATATTCAACATGGTTAACATCCACCAGCTCGCCTGCACCCTTACTATTGGAACGCTTCTATTGAGGCTGTCCACCCCCTAGGCGGTGCCAGCTGCCTCCCAACATAGTGGTGTGTGGAATCGGAAAGGTCTGCTCATTCGAGTGAGTGCTGCAAGATTTCACTTTTTGCTCTTTCCTAAATTTCATATATCCTAATTTTAAATGTAAACTGGTAAATAAGAAATCATGCTAACTCACTTGTAAGCAGTTCTTTATTGCGCATTTAATGATCAAATTTATCACCGGGCCACAATTGCAACAAATAATGTGCGCTCAATCCTATTGAAAGCATGCATAGCCCAGCATTTTCCTCCAACTTTTTTTGCGTTTCAAACTCCATCAACCTGTCTTTAAACAGGTTTTGGGTCGGGTGTGCGTTTAGGATATTATGACAGTATAGTTAGCAACATTGGCTTAAATAGCCTCATTATGCCCCAGAACGAATCTCAGTAGGCAGCCTATAATCTCCGCAAGCTTTTGATACGCTGTCCGTTGATATGCTTTCTCAAATATTGTGTTTACGAATGCCAGTTTTGTTCAACTTCCAGGGGAATCTATTCCCAGTCATTGACACTGTTGTCCGACGCAGACAAGGAGACGGGCCGCCCGACTGCCCCCCTTCTCTTCCTTCTCACCTCACTGCCTCTCTGAGCCTCTCGCCCAGGGACCCAAGGGAACTTCCACAAAGGAATATTCGGGTCTATACAGTATAAGGGCAATCTTGCAAGTTTGAGGGAAATTTTGGCTGCCGTATATATCTGGGAGTTTATATTGCCGCGCGCCAAGTAGGCAGCGCGGCCGTAGCCTAACGATTATCGCGCTTGCCTCCCACGCGAATGGCCAGGGTTCGATTCCTGGCCGTGGCTACGGATTTTTGTTTACACTGTAATGTGATGTTCTAGTGAATTCGAGAACCGTCTAGCTGATTCGAGGTTGGAATGTTCTACGCGTCGAACCTTCTACATCGAATGCTCCAGAAGCCAACGCGTGTACAAAGCGGCTCCGCCTGGCAAGCAGGGGTCAGTCTCGCACCTGCGTTCGACTCAGCTGTTACGCCGACTTCGACGCCCGCGACGCTCTGTTATTATCTTTGTTCTCCCTTTATTTTTGGCACAAGTTCGCCACATTAAACGTTTATTTCTTCCTGTTTATTTCCTTTTATTTTGGTCACCACCCGTGACAATATGTCAATTATGATTTTTTTTCAAGTTAACATCGAATTTCAGTGGCTTTGGCTGGGTTATCCCCTCCATCCATTTGGCGGTTCGTTCCATCTGGCAACACTGAGGAGCACTCGTACAACTTTTTTCGGCAAAATCAATTTTCAATGCCGCCGTGAAAATTATGGGGGAAGGAACCAGTCAAATCAAAGCTTCTGAAAGTGCCGCTGCGCCTTCGTGGAAAAAGACTATAACAAAAAATACTGCAATGTCTGGAGATACAGACACCATGTCCAAGATACAGACTTACCAGGGCTAATATTAATTTGTCAGGTGCCGTGCACGAAATGGTGCTTACTATGTGTCGCGTTCCATGTGTTCGAGTTTGAGAACTCTAGCTTGTGCTACAGCTTTTGTTTTGGACTGACTTTTATAAAAAGTGCTTAAGAAGTTATTAAAGCAGTATCGTGTTCCGACGACGTGCATGACACCTAAAGAGAAGATAGTATACCAGCCAAGTTTGCAGAAACCAAATATGGGAGAATGTCTACGCAAGGGGAGAGGAGAGGGGGAAGGGGGGGGGGGGTAGCTGGTGTTTTGAAAAGAGCTATTGACAACAAATTTGCATAAAGACAGCTTCATTACATTTATATATTGCACTGCTCATGCTCATGGGATTTTAGCCATCTGATGCGATGGCAAAAACTCATTCTTTAAGTGGGGGAGGGAGGAAGGTAGTAATTTGTGTTTTCCGGGAGATTTCTCTGTCAGTCGTACAACCGTACAAACGGATCATGATTTGGAAGTCTCCCAGGTAATACGAGAAACTTGACAGGTATGAGATAGGGTTTCATTCGTTAGTTTGAATCTCCTGGCAACACTTTTTCTCACCAGATTTGCTTTGACTACTCTTTCGGCCCGATAAACTCATTTTTGCAAAACATGCGTGAGGCCTAAAGGCTACATAATGTATCTCTCATCGTAAAAATGAAAGTGGTGCAGAAAACAATGAATACGTAGTATTATGTAATTATTTGGGCAAGCAGAAATAGGGAAATTCTGACATTCCGTGTTGGCAGCCTTGTCCAGGCGGCACGACCTTAGACTAGGCTTGAAAGGGATACATGCTCCCACTGCAGCCATCTTGCCAAACTCTTTGTAAGCCACATGCTTCTCCTGCACTTGCTTCCTTCCGGTTCTGCTAGTTTCATCTTGCGTAGAGAGTTTGGGGTTCCAAGAGCTCGTGACCACTGGTAGCTTTGGTCTTGTGAAAAGGAAAGCTCGACGAATCAGAGCGTGCTGGTAGCGTTACGGGAATAAACGGTTTGTTGACTTTCATTTATCCGAGGCAAACGAAGGTTCGCACTTTTAAAGAGAAGCGTGACACACTACGGATGGAGAGTTGCAATCTCAGTCGAATGCGAATGAACGCTGCGTGAAACTCAGGGACTCTTATGCCGTCGACTCTAGATAGCGTTAACAGGGAACGCCACAACATCCTCCATCTCTTTCGTGCAAAGGTACATAAGATGGAGAATGCTACGGCCAAGGTGGCAGCTCCCGTCTCCGACTGTGAATATGTGTCGTTTGATAACTACGTTGTTGCCTCTGAAGCGCAGAGCACGTCAGACGTTGCCACCGAGCTCGTTGGACGTGGCACGACGTCCAGATTCGAGGACACGATTGTGGAGCTAGTTGCTTCTCACATGCACATTGGTAATCGTAGCTGCGCAGCGTCGAGTGCCCCTGAGCTTCCTTCCGAGGCCGGGACTGGTGCAACAAGCTTTTTATCCTACTCCATATCGGTACTTGCGCTGCACTGGCCAAAATGCGCCCGACAACTTTGAACCGGTGCTGTTAAGTATTGAGGGCAAATCGGCATCTCGTGGTATGACCAGTGGGGTGAAGCTTTCGGCTACTTCCGTCCCGCCGCGTATACTTATGACGTTCGTCCGGTCCGGCAAACTGCTTCCGATTGCCGCGCTCCCAGCGGGTGTTGGCACTTATTATTTTCTTTTAAATAAATATGATTCATATATTTAATGAAGCGAAATAAAGGTGAAGTTGTTTTGAAGGTGTGAATGGCTTTGAAGCTAGTTATCGTAACTTTCTCTTTCACTCTTTCAACGTGTCTGGGCGCGCTTTCTCTCTCCCCGAACCCGCGCCTCGACATGCGCTGGCCGCTGGCGCCGGGAAGTCGGTGGACCGTTAGAACGCGCGAGGTACGCGAGCCGGAGAGCTGTTTTGCTTCTGGGAGTGCGTCGCGGCGCGAGATTCGTGCCGCGTTCGTGCACGCGCGGCTTTCTTTTCTTTTTCGTGGGAACTTGTTGGTGTAATGTGGTCAAGCATGGATTTTCGTCATCACCACACCACC